AGCTGTTATTTAATACATCATTGTATACCTAATTAAGGAATGACTGTAATATTTTTTCTGTCTATGAAGAAATAACATCAAAAATGTGGTGCACACTGAATAACCCGCGTAGCGGGTTATTTTAAAGTGTGCACCACATTTTTTATGTTATTTTGAATAGACAGAAAAAATATTACAGTCATTTCTTATAATTTAATTCTAGATTCCATTTTAAACCGGAGTAAACCATGAAAAACGTTGATGACGTCACGGTCACATGACAAAATTATGTCTATGAGCTGATAAACAAAACAACGTCAGCCAATCAGAAGACGCGTTACATCCAAAATTAAATTATTGATTTATAAAAATAATAAATAAATATTTTGCACCAAATTTGTTAAAAATATTTCAATAATTAGTCATATTTATAACATTTTCAAAATAGAAAAAAAAACTGATTGACAGAAATATGAAGTCACACAAAATTTGATTCAGTATTTATAGATAATTTATGGTTTTAAAACAAGAGGGTGTTTCTCTGCTTTAAACTCATTTAAGGGCTGAGATGAGATATAAACAATAAACATCCTCTTGTTTGAATAAGCATAGGTAATCTCTTTATCGCTATTTTCTTAGGCAATGTAAATGATGATCACTCTACTTGAATGTAAAACATCTCAGTCCAGTAGCACGAGATGGAAGATCAAAGCAAAATTTGAGAAATAACACTAAAGATACCAAAAGAAAATCAGGTCACTGATCTTTCAAAATAGATAAATATTCAGTATGTACAGTCTATTAGTAAGAAGACATTGTCAAATAAACTATAAGTGATTTTTTTTCCTTTGAAATAATCAGTTCAATTGTTTTAAAGAAATTTAGTTTAAAGGGAAACTTCGCAAAAAAATTAAAAATTCATATTCTGTTCATTATGTATAAAAAAGCACAAATTCATAGATATTAAAGTTTTATTCTGCAAGTTAAGAGATCAACATCGATTTTAAATTTAGAGTATCAATTCTCGCATGCGGCCATTTTGACATCCTCCCCGAATATTGACCGCGATATATCTATAAACCACAAAGGACCAAAACAAGCAGTAACCTAACGTAGCCGTAATTGAGTGTCGATATCTTGTCAAGCGTACGGTTGTTTTATCCGACAAGGAAAGCATAAACAGTTTCCCGGGTCACAAAAAAGATTATGATAGACATGGTTGTGCAACCTTTCATAACTAACTTGATACGGAAAATGTAATTTTATATATATTATTTTTTAAATAACTAGTACTAATAGTATGGTCTGTCGTTTTGAAACTGTTTTGTTTACGAAGTATTTAAAACAAGAAATTGAAATTAGTTAAAAAGTCAAAGTTATAAATAAGTGTTCCGTGTAAAATTGTTTTTGAAAATCTAGTTTGTTCATAATTGTTTAAAATAAATTCGGACCTTTCCTTATATGATCACCAGAATGGCTAAAGGAATTGTTCCCAGAGGTATTGTGAGGTGACACGTACAGGTATTCAAGCGATTTCCTGTCGGGCTTTAAAACTGTTATTACACAATTACATAAAACAAGTTCGTGCATCACTTCTTTTCTGGGGGGTATTGATCAGTGTACACGGCCGATAACATGTAACTTCCATTTTGAATCTATCAGGTGTAATATACAACTTTGTATAGCGTATCCGATAGTGATATACTAGTCATTGCTAAACTCATACGCTTGTTTATAAATAACATTTTTGGTGTAAAGAATGATATTTATGAAAATTTAAATAATTAAAAAAAAAAAGATTTGATGAAATAAAAATCTATTTACACATTTTCCAAGGGTAAATTGGGGAAAATGTAAGTATATACTCGTCAATAATTATGGACATTTTGAAACATACAAATATTGATTTATCAAAATGTGCGGCACTTGTCGATCATTGGTTTATACGCCTAGATGGAAGGTTTAATACGGAACTATGGATAGTCGCAATATAGAACTAATATCATACAAGTATATTGAATATACGAGAGAAACATCCAGAACCAATCTGATTTAAATACAGGTCGATATCTAACTTGCTTTGGTTCATCGAAACTATAGGCATAGTAAAATCACAGATTTACATTTCAATAAGATTATTTCGAACAGTTTAAGAAATTCGTCATCATCACATTTTCCTGGTCCGACATGCATGTTATATATATATGCCACTGGACGTGCACTAATGATCACCAAAAGCCTATTTGAAGAAATAAAGAAACTTCACTCCGGATAGACTGATGGTAGTTGTATTAACGTCTGGTCAGCTAGAGGGTTGATTTATTTATTTAGTTAGCTTGTAGGGGATTTAACCACTCTTAATATTGCACTTATGCATTAGATATTAAATGACAGTACCGGTAATATAAGAGAAAATATAAATACGAAAAGTCGCATATCAGATAGAAAAGGACTCACCATGAACTATAGGATTGTACGTACGATTGTCATTCTAAATCGCATAACGGACAGTCATTTAAATGCATGCATGTACGCTGTGATAAAAAGGGGTGTCGCAGTTGCAAAGTATTCATCATAAATCTATTTCAAGTTTATTATTTCCTGTTATTTTTATAAGTTAACGCAGAGACATGTATACACTAGATCTCTATTTAACGACAAGCAACTATATAAATATCTGAATCTGATGTGACTTACAGTTCATCTCTTTCTTTTTTCTCATTTTATTTTTATTTTTGCAGGAATATACACATTGTAAGATATACTGTTCCTCGATTTGGGGGGGGGGGGGGGGGTCTGAGGTCATGTCTATCTATCTATGATTAACCTTGACATTTCCGGGTATAACAGAGCTACTTGTATATTACCTGAATGTGGTTAGGTGACGTCCCATGAGGTCTTACGTATACATGTTCATATTTATAATGGTTTCTGATATAACAATTAGGGTTTTATAACATTCACACTTCTGCATGTTCTGTATACCAAATTCGTATCTTTTTTTCAGACCGAATGAGGATGTGAATATTTTCCAGGATCAAATTCATTTCGGGATTTTTTTTATTTCTTTGTATTAAATCTCAGAAATTTACAGAATATACTGCTTGTCCGCTTTAGGAGTTTTCTTGTCAGTTTAAACAGACGTATATATGTCTCTGGTTTAGAGTGGGTTTATGAATGAATGATAAGTCTTACAAAGGTACAAGATATCAAGCACAGTGAAAATTGATTTCGACGTTCTGTCTCCATTTAAAAAAGGAAAGTTGACGTTAGATTGATTCTGCTAATTTTTTTAAACATCGTTGGTCAAATAGCTTAAGAATTATATAAATACGTTGTCATTCCTGATTAGGTAAATGAAGATCGCTTTGGACGACAAAACTATATTTTTGTAACTGATAATTTTCTCTGCACATTTAAATATTCAAGGTTACCGATGATAATTTAAAATAGTACTGTTTTAATTTATACGCTCGTTTTCGTGGGCCATTTATAATATTTATATAATTATTTTATTAAAAGTGATTCAGAATTTCGATGTTACAACAAAATACTCACCTATTTATTTAAAAACTGAGCAAATGCAAAATGTTAAAAAAATATATATATAACGGCGATTAAGGTATTTTGCAACCATATTCCTCCCTTAATAATTAAAAAAAAATCTGTCTCATACCTGCAACGGTGAACCCTTGAGGACAAACACCACTCTAGTGAAGATCAAAAGATTAAAATTACATAATGCTAATCTTTTAATTACCGTGAATTTAACCACGCCTTTACCAGGTGGTGTCAGCATAATACACATGCATTGTATTTACACAGTACTAGACTGAAGCAAGGATTTGTATAGTAAGACAAATCCTCGACTGAAGTAATAGGGGAGAATACAAACGTGAATTTCTATATACTATCAGTTATATATGTTGTTCAAAATATCCGTCGAAAAAAAAAATCATAAAAATATTCTATTGTATGATTTGCTTTTATTACTATAATCATATCAGAAATCCTTAAAATATAAATCGTAAATTTTAATTTAAAAAAATGCACGGCTGATCACTTTTCTTTCTAAATTGTTAGTTGGTTAATAGCTACGCTAAAAGTCGTCGATGCGCTTTAAATCGCGTTATTAGATGATTAACGAACAAGACTTACAATGAGATTTATTCACTCCCGGCATGCAAAAAGACTTAAACTACGTCACATAAGTCAGGAAGTTGGAATAAATAGAATTATTAATTCCCAATTTTCTTCTTTATTAGTGTTCATAAACAGATAAAACTTGGTGAATATGTTTTTAATGGTATTATGAACATAATAAGATGATAAGTAAAAAATCGCGAATTTTCCCTTTAATGTAAGACGGTATCATACAGCAATTTGAGTAGAATTTCTACAAAAATCCATATCGTACCACATCAGGATAAAATACAGAATAGACCATTAAAAGTTAAAATATTCATCTCTTCTGCATGAAAACAATTGAAAAGGACACAGAAGAAGACTGCTATGATAAACATCTCTGATGCACCTCTTTGTCTTCATTTTAAGGTCCTTTTTGGTCCCTTTATACATTTTCTTCCCTAAAAATATGAATTTTTGGGGGGAACTGTCACAAGAAATGTGAAAATAAATGAGTAATTGAAGTGTTCAAGCTGAATCAACTTCCCCTGAAAAATTGAAATAAAAAGATAATATGAAGTTACAGGTAACAAAAAAAATTTTCAGAAGTAAATTGTTTTCTTGAATATTCATATATCATTAGAGTCCTCTCTTTTACAAACATATTATTAAAGTCTATACACAGTTTTGTGAGTTCTAGAAGTGCTAACACTGCATCAATACAGTTTTTAAAATAAAATACTTTATTCATCTATGACACTGTTCCACAGGAAAACGTTATAGATATTCAATCGGCAACCATTTGATATTCCATTTAACATATATGTATACAAGAATTATTGCACCAAGTTTCACCAGACAGTATACTGTTACTAGACTAGATAATGTTTGTTCCCATGTTGTCATGTACGATATTGTATTGATTTCTCTGCAAATGAACACCGTACAATCTCTATATGGTTGTGTATCATATGGTATTGATTTATCTCATAATTGTCATAATTCTGTCATGGCCATGTATCATACAGTATTAATTTCTCCCATAATGTTCACATTCCTGTCTTTATATTTCTTTGATATTTCGGTTTCCATCTATAAAGAAATAAATAAATAAGGTAAATTTAGTAATTATTAGGTGCTTTTGTCATGGCAATTGTCAACCATTTGAAAAAGTGTGATTTCAGAAAATGCTCAATACAAATAAAGAAATTTAGAGTTTAAAATGCAAGTTCTAACTATTATGCAATGCTCATCCCATAGTATTTTTTGCAATGATAAAAACATCTGAATTTCCAATACTACTTTTTCGGAAGATTTTTTAAAAATCCTGGTAAATTGTAAAATAACAGAGCATTATTTAATGACTCCATTTTAGAGTCAAACTGTTGTATTCTACAGTGAGAATTTCAGGAAAGGTGAAAGTATTTTTTTTAAATGACTAGTATTTCCTACGCTTACCGTCTTTATATGTATATGGGCCAATGTTTGCTATTGCCATTTTTCCTCTGCTATTCTAAATATTCCTACTTTTTAAAGTTCCTTAACCTTTCTATGATTTATAAAGGAAAGCAGTATTTTACCTGTTTCTGCACTTCTTTTGTTTTCTTTATAATCATATCTAACTTAGGTTGTATTTCTGTCTGTTCTTGTATTGCTTCCTCTTTCTTCACTACCATTTCCTTTTCATGGAAAGTCATTTTATCTGCTAAAGTTAATATCTGTTTCAAATCATCTCTCAATCTGTCTACATATCTGCAAATATACCAAACAAATCAATAAAATGATCACTAATTGAATCATAGAAATTTTACTGTTTCTATAACAAATCTAACTTAACTATATACTATTATGCAAGGAATTTACGTCTTTGAAGAATGTTGTGTTACTGTAGGTTTTATTTGGCCCTGTAAATTAACTAAAAATTCAAAAAGATGTATGATACAATTAGTAATCCAAATTTATTAATTTTTCAGAATACATCAATTATAGATTTGGTGTATCAACACAATTTGACTGTGACTTCATATTGAAGATTTTTTGTTGTTGACAAATTAAAGGAACATTTTGTTTGGATGATGAAAAAACTCAATGATAAAGGAAATAATTTCAGCATTCCAATTGTGAACTTTCCATTTCTATTTAGAAACAAGTCCAGCATCATACATTATCTACCAGTTGATATGATATTACAGAGTTTGCGTTTCCCCATCATAATTTCCTTGATATAGGATTGCTGCTTATAAGGAAGATATTGAACCAAGTGTTGCTTTTTGTTAAGTTAAATCCATCTCTTCAAAAGTTTACTGAAACCATCTTGAATTGTTTGAACATCATGGAATATCTGTGTCACAGATGACCATTGATATATTCAAACTGTTGTTGCCAGAATCCTATCTTGTTTTCCTATATTATGAAATCAAAAAATGTTACTTATCACAAAATTTTTACTTGTTCTGAGCAACACGACCCTGCCATTAGTGGAGCAGGATCTGCTTATCTTTTTGGAGCAAATGAGATCCACCCTAGTTTTTGGTGGGGTTAATATTGCTAAGTCTTTAGTTTTCTGTGTAGTGTTTATTATACTGTTGTTAGTCAAGATTATGCGAACCAATTTACTGAATCTACTTTCACTGTATAACCCATAAAAAGGAAATATTTTAACTAAAACTGAAAATTTTTAGCAAAGCAAGTCAGGTGCAACATTAAATTTCAATATTTCGATATTTCAGAAATTATGAAAAAACATTTCACTTTAAAGCCAACTTTCACATTTCTTAAATTTTTTTATGCCCTCCATGGCTGAAGGGGCATTAATTTTTCCCCTTGTCAGTTCTTACGTCCGTAGTTCCCAAAATCTCTAACTTTAGTTTGACTCCACCAATTGTTATGAAACTTATACACAATGCTTATTACCACCAAACACAGACTAAGTTGGAATTTGGGTGGCTTCACTTGCACCTTTCTCAATTTATGCCCCTTTATCAATGGAAAAATTGCTAAATTTGCCCTCTCCACACTCTAACTTTAGTTCTAAAGCTGGGGCATCTGTGTGCCATGGATTCATTTATTTTTATTTTCTATTGCTAGGCAATTCAAAAATGTATATGCTACTAGTAATGCCTGGATATTCTCAAGTTCTATAACAACCGAAAATTTATCAAATTGTTGAGCAAAAATATTGTCTTTCTATATACAAAACTGAAAAAAAAGCTTGCATTAAAAAAAGGTATCTTAAACATATATTTCCAACATTATCCCTTTAGTAGATAGCAGTCGTAGAAGTGAAATGAAATATTCATCACATTGTCCAAGTACAGAGCCTTGGAAACTTGCCAACTTTATTTTACCTTGGTGAGTTTCTTATCAACATTAAATGATGCATCTTCACAGTTGTCAATTGACTATAAATGTCCTTGACCTTTATCAGCATGCCTTCTACCGTCTCTCTTGTTACTTGTAGTGATGATGGAGCTGACTGAAATTGACTGCTGGATAAAAAATTTCCTTCTTCCTTCATTTCCTCCAGCCTTTGAACCAAAAATGCTTCTAACTGCAATATGTATAAATTACCTTTTAAAAGTATAATTATAATCCAGATCATCACTAGAGTTTACTGAAAACCAACTTATTTTCGCATGTGATTTATTTCAGTGACTTTTGCAAGTAGAAAAATAATGTAAATGTAAATCGTCAAAATATGTTAAACTTATATAAATATGTTGACAAAAAAGAAAATTGCAAGAATAAATAGCTGCGAAGTCATCAAAAAAGGTCTAAATACAAAAATAAGTTGGTTAACAATAATTAGCTTAGTAGTAAATATTAGTCACATAAAGTGTGATGCTATAACTATTATCATTCTTTATCAACTTTTATGTTGACAGAGAGCTGTGACATACAAGTACTATATATACCATGGCACTTATGAGTTAGCATATTTAAACAAACGAATCCATAGGATTCGTTTGTTTAAATATGTTAATGAGTAAGACACATGGTATATATAATTTGTAATATAAATAAAATGATTGACAGCTTGAACTAATATTAGACACTGATTATGTTTCTGATTTATCCAATGAGATGGAGGCTAGCACCCGTCAGTACATTAAGAAGCGGATACCTTTCAGAAAATGGAGTGGCGCTTCAGCCATGGAATAACATCAAAATGAAAATGTTGTACCAAAACTAAGCACCACCTACTTTCCTCATAGATTCTAGTTTGGTTTTATATTTATTAATCAAAGTATGATACAACATCAAACTGCAGATAATAGACTATGGTCCCCCCTCCCCCCAACAAAAAAAAAACAAAAAACAAAACAAACACTTTAAAGCAAATTATTTCATTAAAACATCAAAGGAAAGAATACAATTTATATCACAAATACTTGACATGTCCACACACCCACTTATTTCCACCTCTATTTTACAAAACTTCCTGAAAATAATGTTACAAATATCTAAGGTTGGTTGTATTACCTCTAATAGATCATCTAAGAACATAGCTCTTGTTTTAGGATTATCTAATAATGATAAAGCATCTTCTCCCTTTGCCACTCCATCTTCTGTAAAATAAAGGAAAGTAATGTTTATATGTGTTGTGTAAAAGTTATAAATCTATACAAATTATTTGTGCAAGTTATCAGTAAAGTTATCAGTATTTTGAGGACAAAACAAGCATGCTGTCTTTCATTTTTCTTATAGCTGTCAATGTTGCATGACTACATAATGTAGCCTTATACATTACACTGATACAAAGTTTTTATAAGGACATTGTAAGATATTTTGAGGACTTCCCAGTAGCATCTAATAATAGCAAACATTATAAATAGAATATAACCCAATCTCCAGTCCTCATTTGCAGCTCCATCATAAAGAGGAGTGCTTAATGTTAGGCTGAAGTATGTAAATTTGTGAGTAAAATATTTAGCTGGTTTGTTTTTGAAGATAAACTAGTATAAAATGTTTTGAGAAGGTGAGCCTCAAAATAATGACAATTGGTACAAAAATATGTATAAAATTACTTTTACATAACATATGTATGCATTCAGCCATCCAAATACAAACCCACAGTATACTTATGAGAGAAAACAATGATAAACAACAATAAAAGCAATATTCCTTCCATATGTTCTCCTTACTGGCATTAGCATTTTATCCTTGGTTTACACATGTTGTTGAAACTTCTTTCGTAATAAATGTAAACACACTGCTGTGATATATTAATGTGTGATACATATGAGTTAGGTAGTTGAAAAGGAAAGAATAAAAGTTTGGGTTGAGAAATATACTACTACTTAGGGGGGCGGGTTGTTTAACGACCTTGACTACAAATGAGGGTCTCGCACAGTTGGCCCTGGCTTATGCGTTTTTGGACATTTGAATAATTTTTTGAGAAATATAAGGATTAAACAAAGAGGTTGTTGGTGTGTAAACTGATGTGTGTTAATAGGTCCCAGAAATGTGTTTTATCCTATAACAACTGCATGATTTGCAATGAAAAGTTCACTTTATTTTATGATTACATCATAGAGACATAATTGATTTATATCTGCATGCTCCACAATGACTAGATCAATATGATCAATGATTATGAACTTACAATACTTAACTCTTATTAATTTACTAGCTATTAAGCTGTACAATAAGTAGATGACTACATACTATAATTGTATGGGCACTGTGTGCGTCACACTATTTCAAATATACCTGCATGCTCTACAATAACTAGGTCACTATAGTCTATTCCATTACTGTCTTTGTCTGGTTCTACAACACTGAAATCTATGGCATCCTACAAATAACTAGATGTTTCAGTTTGATATAAATACCCCCTCATTTCCTACAAACATCTAGACGTGTTTATGCCCTCACTCATTGCCTAGATGTGTAAATTTGATATGAATACCCTCACTCACTGCCTATAAACCCCTAGATGTGTCAATTTGATTTAAATGTCCTCACTCATTGCCTTCAAACCCCTAGATGTGTCAATTTGATTTAAATGTCCTCACTCATTGCCTTCAAACCCCTAGATGTGTCAATTTAATATAAATACCCTCACCCATTGCCTACAAACCCCTAGATGTGTCAATTTGATATAAATACCATCACTCATTGCCTTCAACCCCTAGATGTGTCAATTTGATGTAAATGCCCTCACTCATTGGCTACAAACCCCTAGATATGTCAATTTAATATAAATACCCTCACTCATTGCCTACAAACCCCTAGATGTGTCAATTTGATATAAAAGTCCTCACTCATTGCCTTTAAACCCCTAGATTTGTCAATTTGATATAAATACCATCACTCATTGCCTACACAGAAGTAGATGTGTCAATTTGATATAAATACCCTCACTCATAGCCTACAAAACCTTAGATGTGTCAATTTGATATAAATACCATCACTCATTGCCTACAAACCCCTAGATGTGTCAATTTGATATAAATACCATCACTCATTGCCTACAAACCCCTAGATGTGTCAATTTGATATAAATACCATCACTCATTGCCTACAAACCCCTAGATGTGTCAATTTGATATAAATACCATCACTCATTGCCTACAAACCCCTAGATGTGTCAATTTGATATAAATACCATCACTCATTGCCTACAAACCCCTAGATGTGTCAATTTGATATAAATACCATCACTTATTGCCTTCAAACCCCTAGATGTGTCAATTTGATATAAATACCATCATTTACTGCCTATAAACCACTAGATGTGTCAATTTGATATAAATACCATCATTTACTGCCTACAAACAACTAATTGTGTCATTTTGATATATTAATACTCTCACTCAGAGCCCACAAACAACTGGCATTACAGAAAAATTCAAACCTCCCACTTTTGCCTATCTTCACCTTGTCACAAGTAAAAAAAAAAAAACAAACCTGCACAGTGCAGCTACCAATAGGATGACCACTAACTTGAACAAGAAAATAAAAAAACACAATTAAAGTAACTCATAATGAAAATAGACCCTGGAATTTTATAAACATCTCCACTGAATTATTTGTTTGAGATTTAATAAAACCAACAAGAGATGTACTTTGAATAAGGGCTAATGCAGGGGAAAATGTATGTTAGTGTTGGACACCACATGATATCTGTTTCTTTTGGGGTAATTGGGGTGGCTGCAAATCATTTGTTACAAATGAAAAAGGATTATTGGGGTTTAACACCTCACCCATATGGTTTTTTTTCTGGAATAGCCCTAAAAATAATAAATATTTTCAGTCCTACCTGATTTTCTGTTCCCTCTACGTTTCCTCCCGTTTCTAATGTAATTTCTGACAAGTCTAAGTTTATATCATCAACAAAATCAATGTCAGCAATATTACCATCACCAGCCTCACCAACAGCACCCCAGTCAATCTACAGTACATGATAAAAACATTGCATTTATACTTAATGATAATCTCATTTTCATAGATAATAAGATCTTTCAATACTACAAAAAATCAAGAATTGCAATAAACACCTATTTTCAAATATTTTTTAAAAACTTTCTTATCTACATCATATATTTCATTCATATCCATTTTCCATGTGTGGAAGCCCTCATCAAAACTAATTTGTGCAGTGCTGTCTTCCATATGTAAATGTACTATCCTACATTCAGATTTCTTGTACACCACAGTAATAAATGCGAACACAGAGATATGTCTCATCTGTGCAGAATGTACACTATGTAAAAGATTCAAAGTCAATGAACCATAACTGAGGGAGCTTGGTCAACAGAAAAGGAACAATTACTTTACAGGCACATGAACAATATCCATGATCTTCAATATGGACAACTGTGGGAACTTACTAGTTTACCCACTGAAACATGCTGATCTGTAACTCATGTTAAATAAACTGTGAACACAGAGATATGTCTCGCCTTTTTATTATTTTGATAGTAAAATGCAAATGTTGAAATTGAAATAGCACTACTTTAACATGTAAGTTATGCAAAATATTCAAAGTCAATGAACCTTGACTGAAGGTACATGGCCAAATAATCTCCATGGAAATGAGATGTGCCAATGCAAATACAACAGCATACCATATATCATTGACCTACCACTATAGGTTTCCCATAAACTTACCTAATCACAAACTAATACATATAAACTAAACAAAAGTTTCAAAGTCATTAGACCATGACTGAGGGGGCAGGTCCAAATAATCTAAAATGGAAATGAGATCTGCCAATGCTAATACAGCTACATACCAAATATCATTGACCTACCATTAGTGGTTCCCCAGAAACTGACCTAATCACAAACTAATACATTGTTGACGCCGACACCAAAAACAGCAAACCTATGTCAAGTTTTTTTACTCTGTCAAGGCGAGTCAACAACAAAACTGCATACCACAGAAAAAATTTTTTAAATGTGCAAAACTTTGTTGCTTCAATATAACTAAACTAAAATGTTGAAATCGGAACTCAGATTTCATAAGCATCATCACTAGAGAAATTTCTTTTAGGAAAAACTTCTCATCATTTGGATATAAAGAATTTTTTGAGATATATGATAATTTCGAAAACTGCGACAGGACAAAATAACCTCCAAGGAAATGAGAAAGGCAAATGCTTCTAAAACTGTATATCATATACCATTGACATGTGATAAGTGGTTCCCTTTAAACTAACCTAAACACAAACTTTAATGTGTAAACTATGCAAAACATTCAGTCAATCATGAATGAGGGGACAGTGCCGAAAGATCTCCATAGAAATGAGATGTGCCAATGCTAATATATCTGCATACCAAATATCATAGACCTACTACCATTATCACTAACTAATAAGCTAAACAAAAGTCCCATTGTCAACAGACCATGACTGTCAGGGCAGGACCAAATTATCTCCCTGGAAATGAGATGTGCCAATGCTAATACAACTGCAGACCAAAAATCAGTGATCTACCACTAGTGGTGACCCATAAATTGACCTAATCACAAACTGATACATGTTAACTAAGCAAAAGTTTCAAGTCTATAGACCATTGCCAAATAATCTCCATGGAAATGAGATAAGCAAAACACATATATAACTGCACATCAAGTACGTGACCTGCCATGACATTTCCAGGCTTATGGCGGTAAACGTCATAATGAGTAAACGTCGATGCAAAGTCACATAACGTAATCTGGGCACCTGTTATTGAATATTCAATTACCGGTATATCATGCAGTAAAATAAAAGTTTCAATTTTTGTTGACTTGAGGAAATTTGATTCTTATATTAAGATATACAAAACAAGTAGATGTTTTATGTAAACTTAATGATTCAGGATAAAATCCCATTTAGAATTACGTTCTAAATTCACACAATTTATCTTTTAAATTTCATTGCATTGATCTGAATAAAAAATAATTATCAAAGGGGCCTGAAAAAAACCTTATATCATTATAGGCATTTCAAAGTGCAGTGTTTATATTTTTCTCTAACTTATTACCAATACAGATTACAGCATGAACATTAAGTTTTTTGAGTAAATCTCATTGTTTCACATTGTAAAGGAAAATATGAACATATTTATGGACATATACCAGTACATGTAAATCAAGCAAGTTATGCCTGCCCAGTAGGATCCCAATATTGTCTCATCCCATGTTCATTCCTATGGTTTTTTTTTTATCTATGTCTGTCTTAGAACTACACAAACAAGATGTATGTGTTGTTGAACGTTTTCCTACATCCCCTTCACCTACATACCCTAATATCATTAATCATGCTGTTTGACTGTTGAATCTTACTCTGTATTAACAGATCTTTGTTTTAATCACTTTGTCAGGATACATGTACAAAATGTATTCATAATAAGATAATAGATGAATATTAGAAAGCATATCAAATAATACACAGCTCCTTGATGGTTTATTATATATCTTGGTTTTCAATTTCTTAGCATTGATGTAGTTTTCCTTAAGAGAAAGAAACATGTTTAAGCCATTATTATTTAGATTGCAGATTTCGGTACATTGTTGCTATGGTTAAATGGTTGAAATAGAAATACAAATTCTTTAGTTATTTAGTTATTAAAGCTGCAATTACATTTTGATTAATCAAAAAAGACTAAACATCCCCCCCCCCCCCCTGCAAAAAAAATCAAAACAAATTGACAAGTTTCAAAGATAACTATAATAGATGAACATACATGTGAAAAATTGAGAAAAAAAAATGAAAATCGAAAGTAACAAAAATGACCATAATTCTGTTGTTTTGCAAAATCTAGCAAAATAATTTGTCAGAGTGTTTTGAATCTATGTATACTTAAAATTGCAAAAAAAAATCATTTTGACACTAGTACCTCCATAAGCCTGAAAATCTCATGGCTGGTACAACTAGTGGTTCCCCATAAACTGACCTAATCACCAACTAATACATTGTTGATGCTGCTGCAGGAAATGGCACACCTAAGTCTCACTTTATCAACTTTGTCCAGTAGAGACAACAAAGCTGTAATGAGGGATGGTTTTGTGGTAATAAGCATTGTGTGTAAGTCTCATAACATTTGGTTGAAGCTAACTTAAGTCAAGAACAGAAACTAAAAATTTTGCAATTTTTCTATTTTTCTATTTGTAAACATGCATAACTCTAGAACGGTTGTGTATATGTTTTATAACATTTGGTTGAGACAAACTAAAGTTAGAGAACAGAAACAAAAAATTCAGCAATTTTTATGTTTATAAAGGGACATAACTCAAGAATGGTAAAAGTGTTGCCACCAAATTTCGTACTTAATCTGTATTATGTAGTAATAAGCATTGTGTATAAGTTTCATAACATTTGGTTGAGGGAAACTAAAGTTAGAAAACGGAAACAAAAAATTTGTACTTGCTCTTAGTTTTGTGGTAATGAATATTGTGTATAGGTTTCATAATGTTTGGTTGGGGCAAACTTAAGTTACAGAATAGAAACTAAAAATTTTGCAATCTTTCGATTTATAAAGGGGAATAACTCAATAATGGTTAAAGTGACACTACCCAAATTCAACTTGATCTGTGTTTTATCAGTGGAAGTCAAAATTAAACATTGCATTGTATAAAGCATTGATTGTAGTTGATTCAACTATAATCATGGACAAAGGAAGATAACTCCAATTTTAAAAATTACTTGATATTTAGAAGAAAATAAAAATTTTGCAATTTTTCCCTTTATAAAGGGGCATAGCTCTAGAACAGTTAAAGTGATGCCACCAAAATTCAAACTTGATCTGTGTTTTGTGGTAATAAGCATTGTGTATAAGTTTCATAACATTTGGTTGAGGCAAACTTAAGTTACAGAACAGAAACTAAAAATTTTGCAATTTTTCCACTTATAAAGGGGCATAACTCTAGAACGGTTAAAGTGACGCCACCAAAAATTCAAACTTGATCTGTGTTTTTTGGTAATAAACACTGTGTAAAAGTTTCATAACATTTGGTTGATGCAAAGTTAAGTTAGAGAACGGAAACTAAAAATTTTGCAATTTTCCATTTATAAAGGGGCATAACTCTAGAACAGTTAAATTGATGCCACCAAAATTCAAACTTGATCTGTGTTTTGTGGTAATAAGCATTGTGTATAAGTTTCATAACATTTGGTTGAAGCAAACTCAAGTTAGAGAACGGAAACCAATTTTGGGACGTACATACGTACGTACAGACGGACAAGGGTAAAACTTAATGCCCCCACCGCTACGGTGGGGGCATAAAAATATGAAACAAATTAATGCATAACAAAGTCCTTCTTTTCCTGTTGAAATATCATTGTGAAAATAAATGATTCTTACATCTGCAGAGTCTGTCAAAGGATCCTGTTCATCTGTGGTATCTATGAAAAGTTTTGTACAGTCAATTTTCTCAGGTTTTGTTCCTGTCCGCCATTCATATGTTGTAGTATTGCCATTTTTGATGATATGTTTTAACATAGGTAAATTATTTTCTCCAGGATCCCTACAAAGAATGAGTTGTAAAATGACTATTTTAAAAGTATAATTTGTAAATAGGTATACCATCCATACAATACTGTATTAATTTTCAAGAAACCATACAAGTAACAAGTACAACTTCTATGTAAAAACAAGACGAAAACAAGTGGCCCCTTTTCTCATATTATAATGCTTGACTGGATATCTTGTATTGATGCTCAATTTTTTCCTGTGAAGAGTTTTTCTGTACTTTCAGAAACTGGCATAAACTCTTTAAATGGTAAAATATTTTTATTTCCGTTCAATAACTCCTATAGGGTGTCATTAGAGTGTTTAAGTCAAGGATCTGGAAATTTTTCACACAATTTTTGGTCATTTTGAGATGACTTCATAGTTAAAAGTTTTTTCAAACTGTTGAAATTGTTCACACTAGATTCATGACATTAAAGAACTTGTATTGAATAATTGTATCTATAATTTCATCGAATTTACTTCAGGAATTTTCTTACCGTTTTTAAAAAACGTTTAAGAACAATTTATAGAATGCAACAGTTTACAATTGAAATCATTTTAATGACTCAAAATGGTAAATTTCTCAGGAATCGCCAACACTTCTTTCCATATTGAAGACGAAAAACAAACTTTAAGTTTCACGTTAATACTAAATTACAAGTGATTTTGGATTCATTTTTAGAATTCATTCTGTTCATCAAATTGACAAATTACCGTATTTTTTATTTTATTACTTTAAAAGTGTTTGAATTTAACAGATAATAGTTGCATTCATTTAAGTTAGCAAGAAATCATTTTACATTTTACGATAAATCATCTAATCTGGTGAAAACAACTTCACACATGAGTATTACATAGAAAATAAAGCATACTTTTGACACTTTTTCTTTTAAATATATCCAGTCTTCGACAGGCGTATAAAAATAATTGATCATCACTAAATTTTGAAATTGTCCAAGACATTGCTGATATAAACCTTTGATAAAATTCGAGCAAGAATTGTACATGTCAGCACTTTCAATGCAATTGTCCATATAATTAATATTTCCAAGGAGATAACTCTTTGAGAAATAATTGATCTGGAACTCATTTTTGACGTAGGCCTAGCCATTTCTGATATAAACCTTTGATATAAGTTTGATAAAAATCTGGCAAGAATTGTACATGTGAGAGCTCTAACAAGACCGGATGGATGGACACCTGGTAAATCTGTGTCCCCCACTAAGCTTCGAACAGGGGAAAAAAAGGTGCATAAGTACATCATGTGACAAAAAATGCATACTCATTTGTTAAAAACTGAACAAAATCTTTGTAGAAATCTGTTGCTAGCGTCAATCCACTCGTAGAATCACATATTTTATCAAATGTTTTAGGTAGATCTTCAACAAGAGCAGCTAGCTCTGATTTGATCTTCTTTCCCTGAAAAACGAAAAAGAAATTTTAACAATATATGTATGTTTCTTAATTTATAATTTCAATTCATAATCAGTCATCTTTAAGGTAGATTCATGGTATACCGCCATCTTGGATTGTACAATATCAGTACAAAATTGGTCTAGTTATTTGCCCAAATCTGCAAATTTTGAGACAGATTTGCAATTTAATGGTTAGATTGTTTATTTATATAAAGAAAACTTGGTGATTTATTGTATTATTCAAAATATTTAAACAAATATCAAATTTTGTGTTTTAAGAATCATTTTTTTCAAATAAGCCATTTAAGGGGAGATAACTCTTTTAGTAAAAAATATATACTGGACTGATAGGGAAATTTTTTATTTTTACTTGTAGCAAGAAAACAAGTTCGGTGACACCATTTTTTCTTTTTATTTTTTTAAAACATATTATAAAACCTATCTTCTTACAATTTATTTCAAAATTCTATTTCATAGATTTTTTTTTATGCACACAAATGTGTTTTTTCTTGAACAATCTAACCAAATTTAGGCAATTTTCAATGACTCATAGCTTGGAAAATAGCACGGTGACCCATACTTTTTATTATATTTTTGAAAAAAGCATAGTAAAATCTTCCTTTTGGCAAAGTATAAGAAAATTCTATCTCAAAAAGTATATACTTATGATCTACCTTAATATAAAAATAAGGAGATGTGGTATATTTGGCTTTTTATTTGTTACGTTTGCTTTTTTTGTTTAATAAGGTTTTTCCACCTTCCATGGAAAGACCTTTCGATTTTGTTCTGATTATTATTCTTATTTTCTTGGGCTGTTTTGTTGTTTTGCAAAATGTTGCTTTGATATTTGGTATATGCAGGGCTCACACTACTTCAGAATCATAGGGAGAAGTGACTTTTCTTTTTGAAACTGATAGGGAGAAGTGGTGAGATTTGAAAGAGAAGTGCTCGTTCGCTCGTGGCGTGACAATGTTTGGTTTTTACTATATTATAAAGGGACATATGTTTCTTATTTTCTTTTTATATTGTTCAATTCATATCTGGGTATACAATTAAAGTAACATTTCAAATTCAAACTTGAAAGTTGTTTAAGTTCATCACATCTAGTTGCAAAATTACATTAGTCCTCTTGTCAGAAACTACCACCTAAATATCTAGCACTAAAATGATTTTTTTTTACATCAAAAAGGAAAAGAAAGTATAATATATGAATTACAATTCAATTAAAACACTATTCTGTTTATCATGTTTATGAAATTCAGTGTTTCTCTTTAAAAAGATATATAAATTTAATAAAGTTAAGCTGGGACATAGTATATTGATATTAGTGTAATAGTCCCAGAGTGAAGCAACTTTAATCAATAACTTGAAACAATTCATATACACGGAAATATATACATTAATCAAGTAGATCTAACCAAAAGTCTGCTAATGCATGTGGAATGCGTAATTTTTCATTTTGGGATCAATATTCTTCTGTCAGTTGTGCCATTCGTGTGTCTGTAGTTATTATCGTAAGAATACAGATTTCGGTCATAGCTGGTCTGTTTCAGTAGAATCCCGCCTCCAATCCGTACTTTGTACAAATATTTCAATGGTGGACGAAAAAAATTTACATAAATAAACGATGTTTGACAAGATTTGGAAAGGAATATGACGTTTATAATGCAATAAATGGATTAAGCATTTACTAAAGGCAATTTTCATCATGTTCTAATGAAGTAACAATCTTATTTTGCCGAAAGTTCAAATGATTTAATGAATAGTGTGCGCTCTCGAGTAACAAGTACCAAAAGTGATAAAAAAAATTGTCTTTAAGAAATAACGTGCAACAAACTGTAAATTCAATACTTTAACCTCTTTTCTAAAGAAAATAAATCGTTTATGGACATTTATGTCTTTTAATTTCTTTACTTATAAATGAATAAAATGCTCCGCTGGGTGCAGCTTGATACGACCGCAGAGGTTGAACCCTGAACAGTTGGGGCAAGTATGGACACAACATTCAAGCTTGATACAGCACTGAATTTGGATCGTGATTAAATATTTGACACAGCATAGGTTTCTGACACAGAATGAATGTAGTCTAAGAACTTAAAAATATTTAATTTACCTATTCAAATCATATCATTATTATTTGCTTTTATATATAAATCAGAAATAACCTATTTAAAATGGAAAATTTTAAAGAAAAAAAAAGAGAAAAAAAATCCCCCCCCAAATTTTTTGAACCCCCTTATAATTCATCACCCCCCAAACTCAATCCCAGCCTTCCCTTTGTGGTATGGTACCTTGCAGCACAATTTCAGAAAGATCCATAGACTTACACACAAGTTATTGTCATGAAACTAGAAAAATGCTTGTTTTTTGCCCCTTTTTTGTCCCCTAATTCCTAAAATTTTGAGGCAATAACCCCCAAAATCAATCCCAGCATTCCCTTTGTGATATGGAACCTTGTGGTACAATGTCAGAGAGATCCATACACTAACACACAAGTTATGTCTGGAAGTTACAAAAATGCTGATTTTTGGCCCCTAATTCCTTAACTGTTGGTACCATAACCCCCAAAATCAATCCATTCACTTAAACTAAAGTTAGAGTGTGCGAAAACCAATGTGTCTTCGGAATATGACGACGACGCCAACGTCATACCAATATACGACCGCAAAAATTGATGTTTCATTGACTTGGTAAAAATTGAAAATCAGAAATGACTTAGCCTAAACCTAGAGTAGCTTATTATCTCCCTTATTTCATGAAAAAATTCCTTAAAATATGTATTTTTGGAATCTGTGTGAGATAAGCTATGTTATGATACTAGAGCTACTAATTTCTAGCTCAAAAAAGAATTTGGTTTGGGTGGAAAGACCTTCAATTGTTCAGAGAAAACAATTGGTTTTTAATTATTCTCTGAACAATTGTTTTTTTTTATTAAAATTATTGCTTTTATTGTGGCTTGATCCAACTATCAATATACATCTGTTTTGCATGTACATACCATACTATGTGCTGAGGATAACTTTTTGAGTAGGGCTTTCACATTAAAAAGAAACAAGAGTGCACATGCTGAAATAGCTCGCCTTCTTCATTGACCATTGATTTTATGTTGATAGTCCTAAATATAAAGCTTCACTACAACTATCACATGAACTTAACATGATCTAAGAAAATGAGGTCAAGGTCAGATAAACCAAACTAGAAATACATGTACACCTTACAATCATTCCATACACCAAATATGCTTTAAATAAAGTTGACCTATTACACATAGTATCTAAGAAACAAACTTAACCAGGAAAATTGATCAATGAACCATGAAAAAGTGGCCAAGGTTGGATGAACCCTACCAGACAGCCATGTACACCTTACAATCATTACATGCTTTAAATATAGTTGACCTATTGCATATAGTATCTAAGAAACAGAAACAAAACTTAACTAGGAAAACTTAAGATTGACTAATGAACCATGAAAATGAGGTCAAGGTCAGATGATAATTGCCAGACAGACATATGCACCTTACAATCATTCCATACACCAAATATAGTTGACCTATTGCTTATAATATTAGAAAAACAGACCAAAAAACAAAAACTTAACATTGAGCAAGGAACCGTAAAAATGAGGTCAAGGTCAAATAAAACATGCCAGACTGACATGTACATCGTAAAATATTTTCATACACCAAATATAGTTGACCTATTGCATACAGTATTAGAAAAACAGACCAAACCACAAAAACTTAAAACTTTAACCACTAAACCATGAAAATGAGGTCATGGTCAAACGACACCTGCCAGATGGACATGTACACCTTACAATCATTCCATACACCAAATTTAGTATACCACATCTCCTTTTTTATATAGACCTATTGCTTATAGTATCTCAGATATGGACTTGACCTCGAAAACTTAACCTTGTTCACTGATCAATGAAATGAGGTCAAAGTCAAGTGAAAACTGTCTGACAGGCATGAGGACCTTGCAAGGTAGGCACATACCAAATATATTTATCCTATTACTCATAATAAGAGAGAAATTAAGAATATCAAGTAGTCACTGAACCATGAAAATGAGGTCAAGGACAATGGACATATGAAAGACGGAAACTTCATAACATAAGGCATCTATATACAAAGTATGAAGGATCCAGGTCTTCTACCTTCTGAAATATTAAGCTTTTAAAAAGTTTGTTAACGCCGCTGTGGCTGCCGGATCACTATCCCTATGTCGAGCGTTCTTCGACAGAAGTCGCAGGCTTGACAAAAAACCTTCAGGAATCTCACTTTTAATATGTTATTAGGTTGCCAATTTGAAAAAAATATCCATTTGTAAACAACGAGAAAGGAAACCTCAAATCCCTTTTCTCATTATATTTCATGCAATTGTCAACAATACTCATTCATAATCTTAAATTATCTAAATACTGATGTCTTTCTGTATATCTGCTTATCTTTAAGGTGATTAACAGACAATTAATTTTATCATTGGTATTCTACATGTTAACTTGATTCTGTGTTAACTCTAGACACTAGTCTTAACAGTGGTAAAATGGAGGTTTTATATAATTAACTGAATCTTCAGTGTATTTTCTTTTCTTTTTCAACATTTAAGTGTCCAGTAAGAAGAAAATAAAACCATAGGTAATGCTCCCAAATAACAGATTCCTTGTATCAATATAATATACAAAGTATTGATCTTGAGCTTCAAGGACTAACATCCCAACCCATTTTTCCACAATCTGGTTGTGGGCAACAATAATACCAAGTATTATTAACATCCTTTAAGGCAATTCAAAGCTTTGAGTTGGCCATGACTTTGAAACTTTGTTTGTGACCTTGACCTTACAGGGGAATAAGAAATGTTTTGTTTATGATTACCTGACTAGATTTTTCAAATGAGAAATGAAATGAAAAATATATTGAAAAGACAACACTGACAAAATATTTTTCCAAAAGAAAATTTGTGCTGCATGTTTAAAAAAAACACATTGAACATGTTGAAAAGGAAAATATAGAGGTTACTGGACAAAAACATTTTGACACAAAAATGGCTGACAAAAGCAAAAAAAAAAAAAAAAACCTTTTAAGGAAAAGTTAAAAATATGAGAAGCAAACATCCTTTAAAATTTCAAATTCAAATGTTTAACTTTTATTCAGAAAAAAAAAATAACACCTCTGATCTAAGTTATGCTGTATTACCTGAATTCCAAGTTCCTTGCATTTAGAATCATACTTCTTTTTCAGGTCAGTGGATTTGGAAGCATAATCTGCTTCTTTTCTGTCACATTCCTGAAAACAAGTGTTTAATAAAATAAACATGGTAAATTGCATACATAATGGCTCGGTCCATTATCTATATTCAAAGGGGGTAACAAATAATTTTGAATAACTAATTAGTTGTCTAGCTAAGAATTAAATCTACTAAACAGCACATTATAAACAGCATTTTTTTTCAATATGTTTCACTGTGGATGACTATGAACCATATTTTTTACCAGAAAATATAAGATTTCAGGCATTGAGAAATTTCGATGTAAGTATCAGGTAAATCCTGTTGATTCTGACATAACAACTACTGGCCAGTTGGCACAGTTAAATTTATCACTAAATGCTTCAAACCAATGTCAGCAGGGGTAAAACAAACAGCAGTACTAAATGTGATGTACAAAATGAGTAATTCTTGAATAACCATCATCAGGTCTAATTGATGCTGAAAGACTGAAAATGTTTGATGCGCTCATTGAAGATTTCTCACTTCTAAGAGCAGGCCTTTCGGTCATAAAACTTGACTCAGTACAAAAATGTGCTTGAAACGCCAAATCCAGTATTTTGGTTGGTTGATTTCTGAGTCTGAGTACAAAACCGCAGGGGCCGATTCAGAACCTTGATGGGGGGGGGGGGGGGGGGGGGGGGGGGGAGAGAATGGGGCACAATGAAACCAAAATTAAATATTTGTTTAGATATATATATATAGATATGGGCCAGTGTGATGGGGATGGTGGGGTCGGGTCTTCATTTCTACATCTTTTCATTTCTTCTACTCTTTGATTTTTTGCCAATTGTTCTCTATTCTTTATATTTCATCACACCTTTAATCTCTTTTCTCTATTTTTTGGACCCATTTTTTTCCTAATCTTTAATACGTTTTGACCATTATTCTCTAATCTGTAAACCCCATTCATACCCTCATTCATGGTAACCCATTCATACCCTCATACATGGTAATTGAAACAAGAAAGATATACATATATAACTGTATTATGTTATAAAGTAGGTCTTCTAAACATACAATAGCATTTTAATAATGATTATATATAAGGCAGTTAACAATTCATGTTTTGTGGAAGGGGGAAGGTTTTTTTTTTAAATTAAGGGAAAAGAAATATGACATTCAGTTTTTTTTTAAATGTTCCTGTATGTTATTGATAATAGTCGTTTGTTGTATAATAAAGTCTGAAAAAGACTGTTCCGAGAAAGATATATTCCCCAGAAAATTTAGGTACGTCTAAACACTGCTAAGGACTTCTTAGTGCACTAAGGACTTATAATATGCCACTAAGGACTAGAAGGGGTGCTGTTACATGTACATTGTTTTCATATTATGGTAGAGATTGATATTTAATACATAAATTCCAAATTTTATAGAAGAAGAACCTCAAATAAATGAGTAATTGAACAATATATAGGCACGTGCCGGTTTTTCTTTGATATTGCCGAAAATCAGTGAACCAATTGACACAAGCCAACTTACATAACAACTGATTAAACAATCATAATCTTTTTTATTTTGAGTAATTAACAATTGTAAAGACTAGTGCTAAAAATGTATAATCAAATGTTTTGTTCTTATTTACAAAGATTAAAAGGACAAATCATTTTGCTTTTGTTTTATTTCTCTTCCGATAAAGTTATTTGCGTGCATGGCTTTGATGTGGGTCAACTATTAAGTTAGAATGTGGTCAGCTTTTAAAATGTTTATATATTAAAGAGTTACCAAGACAAAAGGAATAAAGGGGTCGACAATAGAAAAAAATTGATATTCTATGCTCAAAATAAATATAAGAAGTTGTGGTATGAGTGCTAATGAGACAACTCTCCTACCAAGTCACAATTTGTAATCAAAGTACTGAAGTACTGAACATCGGATGACCGCAGGTTCTTGTGGATGGTCAAAAGCACATGTCACAGAAACAGATCACATCTCTATACCTGAAACTGAGGTTAATTTACAGAGATTTTTTTTTCTTATACAAGTTCGTGCTTGGATGATGAATAAATGACAGGAAATTCAACCTCACCGTAATAACTATTATATTGTAGTGATACAAATCAGTATACCTTAGACTATTATACTAATATAATAATAGTTCCAGAGAATACACTGGTTTGTTGTTATATATTATATTAATATTACGGTTGCATGTATATATAATTTTCATCTATTTGTATATCATACTATTCTACTATTATTATAGTGTAATGCAAGTGCATGGTGGACACTCTTCTGTAAAAAAAAATCAAAGTCTTAAAGGCTGTAAAAGCAATTGCTGCCATGTTAATGTTTTGTGGACTTTTATTTTTCATCCATATATATATAAGAATTAAACCTGACAGGACAGGAGTGTTGACTAGTGAGAAGCAAGACGGTTTTAACTTTATATCAATATAAGACTTTAGCAGGAAATCATTTTAAATATGTTTTATATTTTACAAGGAGACAACAAGTTTACCAGGCTAAAGTTGGGGTTAATTATACATGTGCTGAAACATATAACTGAAAAAAAATCATTATAGATTATCCCCTGGTAGTGTTTGTAACTGGGCAATAATTTCCTTTATTGATTTAATTTTAACAATTTTCATAATTAATTTAAATTAACCATTCAGTTAAAACATTTCAACTTTCCAGACACAAATGTTGAAAAACGGGACAGAAATAAAATATCTTACAAGACATAAACATGTAAAAAATAAATATATATTTCAGCTTACTAAAAATATTTTCATAATGTTACTTTGACATCATTTCTTAAAACTAAGTCCCAAACATAATTGCTCAGTTGACATGTGTCATCCTCATGCGATACGAGATAACTATAATTCTGATGCAATCCCGAAAAGGGGGGTCATCACAAACAAACATGACATTAAATTGTCATTATACGAACTAGAACAAACAGCTCTATGTTGCTTTGATATTTATCAATTTTCAGGAAACATGTGAAATAAATTTCAGGTCCATTTCATTATAGTGCCTCACAAGATTGTGTGAGGTAGACGAAATTGTCCTTAAAACGATCGTATTGTCTTTTGATGTCCAAAAATAGGCAGATCGGACATATAAGGACTTTATCTAATGACTACATAAATTTGGGATTTATTATTATTATAATATTCTAATGAAACTGAAAATTGTATTTTTTTTTAGGATAAACAACAATTTTACCTGGCATAGCCGTTCATAAATGTTTTTCTGCATTTATCTTCGAAAAATGGCGTATTTAATGGAATAGAACGTTAATACAGTAAACTTCCTCTTTTTTCTCCGCAATAGGCTATCAAAAATAATTTATCTAATGTGTATGTGGAAAATTATGTGAAAAGATAAAAAGTGGCAATTGTTACCTTTCATACCTTAAGTTTCGTTCATCTGATTCTGACCAATGCTTATATACTAAATATCTATTTATATGCCGCTATTATTGTTGTTGTTACCAATTATGTAAATCAATTGTATCTGATTTTATGCCCTTTATGGGCCCTGTAATTTGGGAAATAAAAAAAAAATCTATTCATTGATAAAACGTAATATGGACTGGTCCAGTGTCCAGTTTGCAGGTCATTTAATTTTCTGTACACATTCATGCACGCTCTGATTTAATCAATATACTCGTACGAAAAAGCATGAACCGTTTGAAGGTAATCTAATAATAACTTAATCCAATCAAATTGCATAAGATTCAATAACAATGTCAAGTCCACATCATAATGAGTAATAGAGGTAAACTGGGTAGGGAGAAAATGACAGATATTTCAAGTTAATATTTATGCAATAACGGATTAAAATTTGTCAACCAAAAGTTTTGCTACAATTTCAAAAACATGTCGTTCTGTATGGGTATAGTTTTCGGATCTTTCATTAGCATATTTAAGGCTATAAAAAGTTTGGGCTTCAAAAGTTCACACAATTATTGACTTTATACAGAAAATTGGTCCTTGTAAAACATTTAATAGTTCACAAATGATACGCGATTTTAAAGTAACATTATTTCTTAAAACACTGCAAAAAATTTCATTCATATTGATAAAGTGGTATCGTCATAAAGTGCGTTGAAATGAACAGTGGTATAGCAAACATCGAATTCCCTCACAAAATGTTATCACACACTACAGTAAGGGGAGTCAGTTAAGTTTGTCTATTTTTAGATACTATACAGGTAATCTTTTGACACTACGTATACAACCTGTGTGACCTGTGTAGTGATTTTGATTTTACGATAAATTCATGAATGAACGATAATTTTATGAATGAACATGAGCACCTGACCTCTTTCTTAAACACCTATTAAACATATAAAACCGTATTTAATAAGGAGATAATTCAGTCAAATTTTCAGTACTAAATCAACAACTGAAATGATTCCATTTTTTGATGAAACATCGTACGAACGGAGAACGGAATCGCAGGTATAAAAATGCACTTTTTTCCCTTGTAATGACCGCGGATCTATAATTTTTATAGATCGGTTGAAATCCCAAATCTAATTTCCATAATGGAAATTTAGGCGATAGCAATACATCAGAATGACCTCAAGGTCATCCTCTGTAAAAAGTAAACCATTATAGGTCAAAGTACGGCCTTCTACACGGAGCCTTGGCTCACACCGAACAGCAAGCTATAAAGAGCCCCAAAATGACTAGTGTAAAACCATTCAAACAGGAAAACAAATGGTCTAATGTATATGAGAAACATCAACAAACGACAAACACTGAACAACATGTACCTGACTTAGGACAGGTGCAAACAAATGCAGCAGGTTTAAATGACCAAAAGCTTTATTATACAAATAATTCCTGTTACTTACGTTACAATGTTCTTAATATTTTCAGTATCGTAAGTGTTAATTTAGAGCAAAAGATAAAAATTTGTTAGAAAAAATATCGTGCGTACAAATTTAATTAGCTTAGAAAATTTTAGCCCCCACTTAGGTAATGACCAATCATAGGGTGGGGTGGGGGTGCTTTTCAGTTTTTCTCGGGACAAACATTTTTCTTTACTAAAAAAACACTAAACAATTTTCTATATTTTATCATTAAATTAACCGATGTATACTTTAGATTTTAAAATATAGATGTGGAATTAAAAAAAAAAGATTTAAAAACAATGATAAATCCCTAAGTATTTTTATGTTAAACAAATCTAATGCCTGCGTTATTTTCTTATGCAAATCATTAATTTTTCATTTTTTAAAGATAATAGTGTAACCAGTTATGTATTTTGACACATGTCTAACGGTTCACTGATTTTCGGCAAAATCAAAGAAAAACGGGCATGTGCCTAATCATTGTTCAATTATTCATTTATTTGTGATTCTTTTTCGATAAAATTTGGAATTTATGCATTAAATATCAATCACTACCATGATGTGAACTTTGTTTACATGTAATAGCACCCCTTCTAGTCCTTAGTTGCATATTATAAGTCATTAATGCACTAAGGAGTCCTTAGCAGTGTTTAGACGCACCCGAAAATGTATACAATGTGAGTGTTTGGTAATTATATCTCATACTTGACAATAAACATCTATTTGTACCTATTCTTTAAAGACCAATTTTAGTTTTAATTTCTTTCCTGATCAGAAGATTTCAATTGTTAATCGATCTCAATATTAGAAACCAATAAAAATATTCGTATTCCAATCAGCATGTACATGTATTTACATAAATGCTTTTGGATATACTAGACATTACACATAGGTGTCAATATTTACCAACTCATCGATAAGTTGTCATAAATCATGCATGTGTTGAAGCTGGGGTTAATTAACGACCAGTTTAGGAAGTCAAATCAAGATGTGAATCAATTTCCGCTCTAGATAAGCAGATTCAGTAGCAATAAAATTATGTTAGAAAATTTTTTGGTGACCAAGGCCCCCCCCCAGTAAATCCGCCAATGAACAGTACTCGAAATTTTTATGACCGTAAGCCAAGGAATTGAGTGGACTTGATATCAGGTTGTGTTAAACCAAAGCTGTTGCTGTTTTTCCAATGAGCACACAGCATAAAGAAGTATAAAGAAAGACTAGTAATCTCCTAGTTGGAATACTGTGTCTGGGTAGGAAAAAATATCTCTATTGTCAGAGAGCACATTAAAAATCTATCTCAGCTTTTCTTTCTGGTACATTACAGGGTTCATATTCTCGATCTTGATACTGTTGACAGATAGCCCACTGTACATTAAACATCTATACAAACTTTTGAAAGGTCAAATTCACACACTTTATAGAGAAGCAAAAAAAAAACAAGCATTTGAGTTTATCTCCAGTTTTTTTAGACATTGTGTTGCTCAATCACTTGTTTTCTGCATATTATTTTGTGGGCCATTTTCTGTTTGTCTTTTTTCTTTTGGCCCTTCGTTGTCTTGTCTTTTTTCAACTTCAGGTTTTTGCACCCTTTATATGTTCATCCTTTTTTTCAGACGACAAAAGAATCTGTTATATTGCTATCTAAGTTTATAATGAGAACCTTTTACAAGTTCTAGAAAAATTGAAAATAAAATCCTTCCATCACCCATTTTTTTTCTTATGACAGGTGAATGAGAACCTATAAATTAATTAGATGAGGGGTATTTCCCTTTAAACACAAAATTACCTTTTGTAATTGTTGACATTTCGAAATCTGCTTTTTCATAGCAGGTATTTCATAGTTCACATTTCTGGCCATCATCTGTGCTGTTTCAGCTGAAATATAATATATTTAAGCTAAATACATGTGTACTACTTAAAGCAACTATTTTCAATTTGTATATAATTTAATTATTTTTCAGCCCAGTGCTTACAGTTGTCTGTCAATGATAAGCTGTTAAAAAGAATTATTTCTTAAATAATTGATCGATCAAGAGTAATCATGAATGTTTTATTCACCACAAGGGTCACAAGCGTGCATATATACTGATCACAGATTCAAATGCAGTAACAGAGATCAACTGATTGAAAAGGAAATATAATTACATATAAATTACCTTTGAAAAAATATCACATTTTTTTTCAACATCATTAATATGATAAAATTTAAGCAAAACATTTTTCAATGCTTAAAATTTTGTAAAGTTAACAATCCCAACTTGATAAATGTGGTTATCAATGAGCTAGTATTGTAGATTCTTTAAGTAAACATGTGTTGCTAATTGACACTAAATATAATGCATATATTCACATGTCTTTACAAGAGCCTTTGTAACTATCGAAAGAAAATTCGGATAAAATCAAATTCCTATATAATTTATGTCAATATATATATAACTAGCTCCTGGCCATAATAAAAGACTTGGCCTCAGCCATGCATGCATCAAAAAAAACATTTTGTTTTTATATAACTTCATCATATCAAAAACTAAGCCAGAACCTTTACCACTAAAAACCTTAAACAATGTCATGATTATAAATCTGAAGATTCCAAGGGTATTACAAAGGGTCTAACTTGAGAAATCAAACTTTTTTATTTATGAATTAATACTATATCAAATGATACAAACCTAAGTAAACACCATCTGTTTCATACATTTTAATTATTTCCATCCAATCCTGTGAAAAATTAAAAATACCCAATCATTTAAAATTCAAACTGAACTTCTGCATATATATTTAGGACTCAGAGGTGTGATCGGGACGCAGAGGTATGATGGTCACTCTAAAATGTGATGGTCTGTGCCCAAGTGTGATGGTCTTTTGGCTAATGTGAGATGACATATGGAGTTTTTTATACCATCTACTGTATGGATATTACTTATAAGAATTATATGACGCATGATTGCAAGCTTGAAATCTACAGGGGTTCTTTTCAAAAAAAATCTTAGGATAAAAATTAATCGTTAGTTAAACTGAAATGTTCATGACTTACAAGTATTTTTTCTCCTAAGACTTTTTTGTGAAATTGATCGAAGATGCATAACTATTACAAGAAGTACATTTATTTTTAGTCAGTCTATAAATTTGCACCGTACACTGTTTGAATATAATCTGTAAGTTCCCTGCTTATATCATAGTTTCATCTATACAGTTAATGTAAATCTCTTTAAACAGTGTTTGCAACATTTGAAATACAAGAATACAATGTATATTTCATATTATGTACATCCTTAGAGAGGTGTCAATGAACTATGTCAAATAATTCTCAGTCCAGGTGTTACCAAGGCAAAGCAAGCCAATTTCAAAATGTCAGTAATGTAACTAATGATACTGGTCTAAAGAGCTAATAACTGGCTGTTTCTGTATTGGTATATATTAGAGGAAAGCTGTATTGGCAAAGAGAGAGGTCTTGGCCCAAAACAGATGACTCAGAATCTATACAAGGGATAATAAAGAAACAGTCAATTCATAACAACTTTTTAAAATGTTTCTTAGCCTTTTAAAAGAAATCTAAGAAATGTGCCTTTAAGCATGTAAAGGAAATCCTATAATCTGTAAACTATGATGCATTTTTTGCTTAAAAACGTATCATTTTGCATTAAAATAGGTCACAAATTTGAAGAGGTATAAATAATTTGCAACCAGAAATGACATATCTTGCATTAGTTCATTGGCTATTACAGTTTTTTCCTGTAGTAGCATAGGGGGCAAACAGCTGTATTGATATCTGTAGGACAACATCATCAGTATCATACATGTCGATTTAACCATATACCGGTAAGGGCTGATTTGGTTTTATATGACTATAAATTTTCTGTTTTCTCATTGGCTAAAATCATAGCAAATCCTCTTTGATAAAATATTACATTCACTGTGGAAAAGAGAGGTTAATATCAGATTTGGAACAGCGTCCGTGTACCTAAATATAGATATTCCAAGGCAACATCAATGACATAGGTTTATGAATAGTAAATTCCTGTTTTTTTTTTTGTCTTCTTGTTTTCAGTGTATTTTTTTAGTAAACTTTATTGAATATTTCAACTTATGGAAATTAGCAACTGCAAAAGCAGATGATATATTTAGTATAAAAATAGGGAGCAGTTTTAAAAGTATCTTGAGCAAATACTAGAAAATTGGAGAAGGATAAAAAGTCATATAATAAAACAATTGTTGACTTTTGATTTCAGTTCATACAATGATTTATCAACCCCAGAGATATGACATTCACCCTCGGCTGTTGGACTCGGTGAACATCATATCTCTGAAGTTGATAAATCATTGTATCAGCCTCATCAAAAGTCAATAATTGTATAGTGTCATTTCATAAAATACTGCACTAATTTTCAAGAATGGTCATTAATTCTAAATCAGAACTTTAATTCATTGGTTTAACTCACCTTCATCTTCTGTGAGGAGTACTGTCCAATCATATTTTTTTTACCAAAGTCTGTGTCCTTCAATAACTCCACAATTTGTTGGCAGTGAAAGTAATTTATATCTAAAGACAATTTTACATTTTTAATCTTTTTTATCAAAAATCTCATTAAACATTTAGTCAGATTTTTAAACTTAACTAATTTCTGAAAACTGAACCTTCTGTAATATTGAACAAAATGCTTTCTGGGAAGTAAGGTATCAAGAATCAAAAGGGTTTGAATCATCTCTTGCTTTGCTCATTTTTGTAGTGTACTATTACATAATTTCAAATCAGAATTTAGGAAAATAATGTGTAAAATAAAAAAAGGTAAAATGGTAGGAAAATTCTTTATTTTATAACAATTTACAGAATTCAAATTGCTTTAGAAATAACCAGCTTATTATACAGTATTGGTTGTTCATTGTTGAAGGCTGTACAGTGAACTTTAGATGCTAACTTCTACATTACTTGGTCTCTGGTGGAATGTTGTGTCATTGGTAATTATACCACATCTTCTTATTGTTATATTACAACAAAAAATAATTTTCACACTCAACTCTGATTTGCTGTTTTATTATCATTTAAGCAGACTATATAATAGCAACTAAGTAACCTTCAATTTAGTTAATATAGAACTACTAAATGAGACCGCCATCACTTACAAGTTTTCATGGCAACAAGTTATTTATAGTTCTATAACTAAAATACTTTGTACTTTGGGGCATTTACCTGTACAGCTTACTTCCTACTTTATCAGTCTTAAAATTTTCCAAAAAGCATTTTTAAGTTCAGAATTGTTATTTGAAAACTAAACCTTATAAAGAATTTGTTTTCATTGCGACTTTTCTTTCATAATTTGAGAAATTTGACTCAAGTCTATTTTCCAATTTATACTGTGATAGCATAAGACAGGCAAATTCCAGTCTAGTAAATAACTGGAATATGTGTCTACAGGTCAAAGGCCAGAAAACATAATGTTGCTCTACTATCTTAGACAGCGCATAAAAACTACTTACAAGACCCCTGTAATAGCTGTGTGATTTCTGTAACAGGAGGCATGTCCTGTATTGCTGTGTTTATTTTCTCTCTGATTTGAGCTGCTGTCTTTTGCCATTGTTGGTCACAGTGTCTTCTGTTAATCAGCCAATCTGTGAACATAGGGCAGCAACTAAGAAACATATAAACTTTCAACCTAACTTAAATTCAAATCTATGACGATTAAGTTCAAATTGTTTCTTTAATAAAGTATAAAACATAGCTACAGACTGAACTGAGTTCATGGACCAACTATTTCAAAAGACAGTAAGTCTTTAATGAGTAACCAGACCTAGTTTTCCTTTGAATTTATTTGAGTTGGAGTAACCTCCACTGGCCACCATGTTGGAGGGCAAACTAGTTGATTGTTTAATTTGACAAGCTTTATTTGAACTTTGGTGGATAGTTGTCTCATTGGCAATCTGCCCACATCTCCGTATTGGAAATGAAATGCAAAATTGAATTATATCTAAGTTAAAAGGATAATAAAATTATATCATAATGAACTGGAGATTTTTTATTTTTTTTTTTAAAAATAGGTTAATAATATGGTATAAAATTGTGGCATGAATTGGTAATTTTTGTTTATGGGATTGTCATTTTAAGTTGTTGGGATGTTATTTTAATTAGATTTGTGAATATTTGATTAGAATAGTTTTGTGATATCAAAAGGTGACATTTATGTTGCATGTTTTACAATTGATTTTCATTAAATTGTGGTTTGAGTTATTTCCCTTTGAACAGAAATGTCAATCTGGAACAAAATTGTTTTTAAGTATATGTCATTATGTGGGAAATGTTTAGCACCCTAATTTGGACCTACAATGTACTTGCAAAACATGGTCCAAAATCAAAATTCTAAATACATGGTAAGATTAAGCATATCAAAGAATCCCAATATTTAAAGGTTATTTAAACCCCATTAAAATTGGTCAGAAATAAGCATTTCAAACAAAGTTTAAACAAGAGGCTGTCAGATTGACATCAAACCAGATTTTCCTGCAGGGGTCGAACCATGAACAGTTGAGCAAGTATGGACACAACATATAAGCTCAAAACAGCTCTGAATTTGGATTGTGATTGAATATTTGACACAGCATAGGTGTGTGACACAAAATGAATGTGGTCAAAGAACTGAAAAATTTGAAATTGGACGTTTACCTATTATGGTCCAATATCAAGTACATTGTTAGAATCAGCATATCAAAGAACCCCAAGAATTCAATTTTTTTTTATTCATTAAATAATTTCTGTTCGAAGGGAAATAACTCAAACTAAACAAAAGACCAAATGACATAGAAATTAATTATCAATTTCTTTTCTAAGGGAAATAACTCAAATTATATTAATAAAAATTAATTTATTAATATCTGTTCAAAGGGAAATAACTCAAATTCATATAATAAAAATTAATTTTGCTACTAATACCGTAGGTCTACAACTCAACACAAGAACAGCTAAAATCGTGAAAATTGAACTTGACCTTCATTTAGTCACAGGAAACAACATATCTAAATTTGAAAAGATTTCGTCAAAGCATTTTCATGTAAATGAACGTACACTCTTTGGCAGCCACCAGCCTTTCATCCCCAAATCAATAACCGTTTTTCATTAAAAAAATATGGTAAAAAATTGTAGCTTTTTTACCCCTTTTTGGCCCCTAATTCCAAAGAGGATAAGGCCATACATAACCCCCATTTTCAATCAGACCTTCCTTTTGTGGTATGGAAACATGTGGTACAATTTCATACAAATCCATATACTTATACTCAAGTTATTGTCCAGAAACCTTAAAATGTTTGCTTTTGGACCCTTTTTGGCCCAAAATTCTTAAACAGTTAGGGTCCAAAATCAATCCCAACCTTCCTTCTTAGCTATGGAACCTTGTGGTACAATTTCATAGAGATCCATACACTTATACTCAAGTTATTGTCTGGAAACCAAATGTCTTCGGACAAAAACAACATCGCCATACCATTATACAACCAAATTTTTGCAGTCTTATAAAAATTGTTGAATCATTATTGCAGTGCAATATGGTCGATAACATAAGGTGAAAACCATCTAGCCAAGTATGAGAGCTTTTTATCAAACAGTCTCAGAGAAGTTGCATTAATAAGGTGTCATTGTGGTACAATAGTCCATTAAAGTGTTAAAGTCACATAACTTCTGTAAAAATGACCGAAATCAAAATGACTGTATAATATGGTCAACTAGGTATGATGACAAACAATTGACAAAGTATGAAACTCAACACATTTTCATATAGGAGTTTTTCTTATTATTGCTACACCTCAGAAACTGTAAAAGATAGCACTTCAATTTTTTCTTCAAAATGTTGTTACTTCCTTCGAATAATCTGCTAAATTTTGACTGAAGCAATCTGGTTACATGTTATAAGAGTTATTTGCTTTTTTGTGCTTGAATTGGGCGGTATGTTGGTGTAACTCATAAATTGAAAATCATGAAGACCTAGGCTTGCAGTCACACAACTTTACTCAGTACTAGGAGTACAAAACTTTGGTTGAGTCCGAGTATGATAATCTTAGTTGAAATTTTTAAGACTGCAATGCCTAGAGTCTTTTGATGTGCGGTCCTTGGTCAAGAAGCAGGAAATTGAGGACTGTGGCCAATTTCAAAGGTCAAGGTCATGTTCTAAATTTTGAACTTTGATTGTTACCCCAAAACCTCAGAAACTTTAAAAGTTATCAATATAACATTTTTGTCAAATTGTAAGTTGCGAGTCAATATATTGGGGTCAAAGTGCTCTGGCTATTTTAAAGAGTTTTCTCAACTTAAATATTAAAAATAAGCTATTTGGTAAGATAACTTCTAACCATACATATTTTAGACCTGGGATCTTTCAATTTGAGACTCATGACCTTAGACTTTGATAAATGAGGTCAAGGTCAAAGGTCAATTTGATGTTCTAGATGATAAATGTCTTTTGCACTAGGTTGGAAGACATATGACCTTGAATAAGGTCAAGAGGAATTAATCATGTTTAAACTGGAAGTAGTCTTTTTTTAACTTATTTCATGTAAAAGTACCTACATGTAGCATCCATATATTTTTATAATCAGTGTGAAAGAACCAATAGTAATATTTGGAAAACCAGAGGTAGCAAAGTATCTCCCTTATTTCATCCAAAGTATATAGTAACCATATATTTTTTAATCAGTGTAATAATTATAAGCTTTAATATGACACCTAAAGCATTTTGTACATCAGAAGTAGCCAATTATCTCCCTTATATTTTGGGAATCTGTGAAAAGAAAACTATCAGTCGACATAGGAAGTGACAGTAAAATACAGGAAAATGAAAAAAAATTTTTTTTCCAAATTTCGCTCTGGATACTGTCTTCTAAATCATAAAAGAGCTTTTGTCCAAGTTTCATACAATTCCATGAAGGTTTGACATAATAATTGTTGTTTAAAAAAGTTTAAACCACAGATTTAACCTAAATGTTGACACCGCTGCTGACACTAATAGAATGTAGGATCACTATTTCTTGCCTTTGCGACAAAATGCTGCAGGCTAGACAAAAATTAATGTGAATCTTACCAAGTAATTTGTTGTAATGAATATCAATAGGTAACGCCTGTACTGACTGTTGTGAATTTGTTGCCATGTTGAATTGGTTCAGTTATCTAAAAAAAACAAGAAAAATGTGTTGACACTAATATCCCATTAAAAGAAATCACACTAAATGTTGAACTAGTACCCATGGTTTAAAGCATTGAACCTTATACTTAGGTGTACTGTGGGCTATTGCTCAGTTATAAAAAAAGATATGACTTGTAGTTGTAAGAGATAAATTAGTCCTGGTAAAATGTGTCCGGGCAGACAAATATTACTAGTATAAAAAGTCAATGGTTACAGAATTTACTAGTATATTTAGTCTGATGTCAGTAATTTATGTCCCCAGACTCATTTTCCTAGGAATTTATGTCCATGTCATCAATATTCCTAGGTAAAAATGTCCATGTCCTTTTTTTTACTAGGAAAACGTGTAATAAAAGAAATCATTTACATGTAAACAATGGAATTTTTAATTCTTATGTTTTAATGTTGTTTAACAGTTGTGCATTAATCTTTTAATAAAATTTTTGTGCCCAGACTAAAGTTCCTAGGAATTTATGTCCAGGTCATTAATATTCCTAGGTAAACACGACCAATGTTCTTTATTTTGATTAGACAATTTGTAATAAGAGAAATCATTTACATGTAAACAATGGAATTTTTAATTATGTTTCAATGCTGTTAAACAGTTGTGCATTAATCTTTAAATAAAATTTATGTGCCAAGACTAATTTTCCTAGAAATTCATGTCCTGGAGTTGGTCTCACAAAAATACTTACGACTATGATTGATCGTGAGTAATGAATTCAGTATACTTACGATCAATCTTAGTCGTAAGTTTTTTTTGTGAAACCGACGCCAGGCCATTAATATTCCTACATGTAGGTAAAGACGTCCATGTCCTTTATTTTTATAGGAAATTTTGTAACGAAAGAAATAATTTACATGTAAACAACAGAATTTTTAAGTTATATGTTTTTAGATTGTTTAACAGTTGTGCATTAATATTTCACTATTTTATCAAAATATGGGTGTTTTTTTTTAATAATTAAACAGACTTTTTTTCCTAGGAAAATTAATATGACAGACTTTTATGATGTACATAATCACCTATGTTCCTTTCTTGATTTTAATGTTGATTAATTTAAATAATGTCTGAAGAAATAAAATTTTAAAGGGACTTTTTCATACAAAAAATGAGAATACGGATACAATGTATATAAAAATTTTCCTAGGAAAATAAGTGCCAGACATATTTTACTAGAGATGGACTTATTTTCCTAGGAAAATTTATCCAGGGACTAAATTTCCTAGTAATGTTATGGTCACAGACTTGATTACCTAGGAAAAAAAGTCTGGCCGACCGAATTTAATGTTACATAGTCGCCACAAAAATGTGATGCAAATTTGGGGAAAAAAAAGAAAGTAGAACATTGAAGGAACTTGTTAATATTTCTTAATTTGAGCCGGAATAACTTGGGCCAGATCGACATTGAATTTGATGAAAGCAGGAGATGTGGTATGCAGTGTTCCAGCTAGGATTTCAAAAGGGCAGGGAGCCAATCATGAAAAGGGCACTTTAGCACAATGATTGATATTTCAAAAAGGGCATTGCAAACATTGTCCTATGTAAACTGCAGGGGTTTCAGCTAGGAGTTTTGAGAGGGTTTAGTCACTTTTATGCTAGATGAAAATCAACCTTATTTTGGGTAACAGTAAGGGACCAAGGATGTATATTACTAGCTATACATATGCCCTAGTCCTGCAAGGACAAGGATCTTTGAAGGCCTTATGCATGCTACAAATGTAGGTAGTCAGGGTATGATTCTACTGGTGTGATGCTTAAATATGAAGATAAGAACAAGGATTCAGAAATTAAGTTCACAATTTCAGTTATTTTGAGTGGACATCCTGATCAACAAAAGTCGGGTTCCTTTTTTTCAAAGAAAGGAATCACAGCATAATAAAGGAAATTGTAACGGCTATTTCACTGCATAATCAATATCTCTGTGAAACCTTTAAAAATGGATATTTGGAATTCATTTTTATGAGCTTGGAATGATTAAAAAGACTGTCTATTTTAAATATACCAAGAAAAGATCACGTTTACGTTACTTTCATTTTAGGCCAAAATAAATAAATAGTGTGTTTCCGGTTTCCCGACCCTACCTCCGTTTCTGACGCCAACCCTAAACATTTTATTGACAAAAATAAAATAATAAACAGCTGCGCCATGAGCGCATGATACGCCCGTCGTCTTGTGTGTGAATTTTTATGCAATAAGCATAAATAGTTTCTGACATACGGCGTGACATGCGAAAACCCCTTTTTTTTTTACAAAAAACTCAATATCTCTAAAATAAAATTTTGAATCAAAACCAAAAAGTATATAGATCTTTATATTAATATAACTAAGAAGTGTGTAAAATTTTAAGCAATAATCATAACTAAGAAGTGTGTAAAATTTTAAGCAATACTCATAAATCGTTTTTGAGATACGGCGCGACATGTGAAAACCCCCCCTTTTAAAAAAAAAAAAATCAATATCTCAAAAATAAAATTTTGAATCAAAACCAAAAAGTATACAGATCTTTAGATTAATGTAACTAAGAAGTGTGTAAAATTTTAAGTAATAATCATAAATCGTTTTAGAGATACGGCGCGACGTGAAAAACCCCTCCCCCTTTTTTTACAAAATACTCAATAACTCAAAAATAAAATTTTGAATCATCACCAAAAAGTATACAGATTGAACCAAAAGTCAGAATAGTTTCAGGTTGTACAGACTGTATCTAATTCTGTTGGTTAATTGACAAATAATTTAAGAGTAAAATGAGATCAATTTACTGCTAAAATCAATCCAGCTTTTGTTGTGAAAAATGCTCTTAATGACAAAATGCTCTTACGAATGTTGCAAAAAATTGTTCTTAGGGCAACATAAACGGCTGTTAATGCTTTTGAGCATTTGACAGTTTGAGTTCACGACGGCAAGGGGGCAGACAATGTGTAACGAGAAATAGAAAGCTTTCCCCAGTAGGCAGACATGGTGTATGATTCATGTTCATTTATAAATGAATCTGCCCCGGCACCATGTCTACTTTTATTCTTTTATATTTTCTCTGGCTGGTCCTACAACAGTTTATACTAGAGAACGAAAAAAAATCATGTCCTATTAATATCTACAATTTTTTTCCATAGATTTAATAAGTCAAAGATTTCACTCTTCTCAAAACCTGGAATTTTAATATTGTCAGAACCCCCCTCTTCAAGATTAAATTCTGTCAGACATCAAAACACATCTATATATTAAATAAAAAGGGTGCGAGAGTATTACCCCTCGAAAAATCATAATAAGCCACTGCTTGGCATCGATTTGCAGTGTTTTTACTACTAAAAAAAAGGGGGGGGTAGGAATCTGTTCCCACATGTATATCCTGTGTGTCATTTACATTGTTAGGTTCAATGAGGCCAAACATAATAATACCATACCAGATTTTTCACTGCCATTTTTGCATTAAGATAATTAATCGACAAGAACATATTCCTATACTGACAGACTTTAAAAACGCAACACTAGATTATTCTTTTTTACTCCCATTTTCAAACAGGCAATTTTTGTAAAATAAATGTATAAAGATAACTTATATTCATTTCTTAATTGTCTGAAAAAAAAGTTTGCAGTTCAAAAGTTGAACTCATGACGTCATTTTTAAAGTTTAATTCATGTGGTATATGCACTGAAACCCTGGTTTTCTACTTATCAATGGATCACCGTCGAAGGCAATGACTGCAACCAACGTCAAATGATTGTCAGAAAGGTCAACCAATTTTGTGGGCATGTTTTGAGTTCTGTTTTGTACGTTTTGAATTTGCCTCTGCCCCATGCATTACAGTGTGTTTTAGTAATTAAGGGGTTTAAAATTAAGAGCTTCAAATGTTTTTCTGCAGTCGATTCTTTGGCATTTCAGTATATGGGAAACATTTTTGGCATGAATCTGTCTGCCATTGCATTCGTCGACTTGATTAGCAGTTGACATTGCAGCCATATATAAGTCTCGCAAATGATGTTGCATAATCAAATTTTATTTCATTGCGTCGTCACTACATATTGATCTGGTCATGGATGGTCATCAACAAATCCTGTCTGCCTGTACCGTTGTTGTAAGGACAGTAAAACGAGTTTCTGACGTGAAATTGTCTGAAAACAGCACGTTCACGTATTCCTGCCTGCAATATTCTTATGGCCTGATTCAGATTTTCACTGCTTAGTCTCCGCAATATGGAGATGCAACATTTGTTTAATGATTCAAGTGTGGGTACAGATTGAACGAATTGTTTCACCAGAAAAAAAACCTTAAAAAATCATTTGTTGGTTTCAGGTATTGAATTTTTCTAACCATAAAGAAGTATGGTAAGCATGAATAGTTGTTATGAGGATCAATCGTGATTTGGTAAAAAAAGTTCACCAAAATGTGTGTTGCGTTTCTAAAGTCCGTCAGTATATTACGACCCTTGAAATGCATAAAATTTGCATTAAAGTTTATTTTCATATTTCTTACACAGAACTTAAACAGAAAATTAAAAAAGCTGTAGATTTAAGTACTATTCTAAATATCAAAGAAGCATGCAAGACACATCAAATGATTTCATTTGGAACCTTTTTCTGCTGTTATCGATAGAAAAAAATAAAAAGTTTTTATAAAATAAAATGTTTTACCTACCTACCCTACCTAATTTTTTTCGAGGTGAAATAGAAAACACACTATTTATTTATTTTGGCCTTAAGCAAAATGAAAACAGGAAGTGACAAGAGGATAATAAATTTAAAATGAATCGGGATTCATCTACGAATTGGTTTGCGTTTAATGTAAAGGCAAGAAATTATTATTTTTTAAAATTCAGTTGCTCAGTAAAATATATATTTGTCTCTCTGGTTAATTTGATAATAAATGATTTTGTACTTTACATTTAAGTGTCTATTTATAAAAATACGTTCACGCATGCACGGTTCATGACAAAGAAAGTACATGTTTGAATCATGAAAATATCATTGAATTTTTATCTATAC